GGAGTACGAATATCTATTCGCTACTCCTAGATAACTTTCTTCCAAACGTCAGACGGAACGTTTCATCGTAACGTTTGAAACTTCTACTAGTTCTGTAGCTGACAAAGCAATCAATGAATTAGGGAGAAGACTTTGTCCATCTCTGCTGCATTATTCGGATGTTAAAAACGGAGTCATCTTTTCTCTTGTTCTTCTCGTTTACAGATTACCTCGCTCACACCACTGTGTGTTCTTCAACAAAATGAATTCTAGCTATATGCGAACCGCTGCAGATATGCAGATTTATGAAGTGATGCTGTCAAGATATCTTTCGGAGAGCGCAGATATACGTTTCTTTGTCATGTTTCAGCCTTCAGCTATTATACAAACAAAGAACAAGACTTCTGTTCATAACTTATACGATGGTCTAAACTCTACAGATCACGTGACGTATCAGATGCTTTTTATTATCACTATCGGAGAGAAAGGTGAACGTAAGCGTTATATATGGAATTTAACGACAAATTTATATTTCATGTTGAACACAGTACATGCTTGGGAGTTGTGTAGGTTTTCCTGTTGTTACTATTGCTTTAACGGCTGACCAGTAATTGGAGAAAGATGATGTGCTTTAATGGCTAAGCACTTACTTATAAACGGGGATTTAGTGTGTTTTGGCAGAGTTCTTAGTAATGTACTATGCATATTGAATTTGTTTAATCTGATAATTATGGATATTACAGGCAATGCTAACCGACGAATGAAAGCCTCTGAGGTCAGACTAGGTAGCAAAATAAGTAAATTTACGGAGAAAGAAAGAATATTATAGGTTATTTCTTCAGAGTATAGCAACGATGTAAGCGTCAGTTACATTACAATTACAACTGGCTAAGAAATAAAGCAAAGTTTTGACAAATTTCGTATCGATACCATGTGCACAGGGTTTTTAAATGATTGATGGTGCACAATAATGATTGTGCAAAATTTTGAAAACGCATAGTTTTATAGATTTTTTCAGGTCTTGAAGCGTTATAGAGGCGTTTCTAGTCGTCGGATTGGAAAAAGAATTTGAAGAGTCAAAATGGGTCAGATGGCGATTGTCCTTAAAATGCACTTCCTCATAGGTGTATAACGTGGAGTCGGGTCGAGATTGACTGTGAACATCACTACAAAGAAACACGTGCCAAAAAATCAGAAGGCGAGGATTGAATGTAACCAGATTTATTCGTTGGTACTCGTGGTATTGAACGAATACTAAGATTGTGCCAAGAAATGGTACAAGCGGAATCAGCAGGAGAAAGTACGTGCGAACGGGATCACGAGCCGCGAAACAATAATGGAGAGTAATTGTAGCACAAAATGTCTGTCATCAGCACAGTTAAACAAAAGCACACTAAAACAAGCACAGGTATAATTGGTTATGATAATAATAATTGTTTTCATTAAATCGATCGTGTTATCGTGATAAAAGTAGATCACTACAGAAGCCCCTCGCTAGAAAGGGTTTACACTTTCGATAAATAGCGGTTTAAATCGTGAGACTGATCGGCTGACGAGCGATTATAGGACGGAAGAATTGGAGGAACAGGAAAACGATCGTTGATCGTCGAGTTGCCAACGAAGGTCTTTTTTGGGGAACAATACCAGGGGCGGTGTGCTGTATTTGTTGCTCGAGTTGGCGTATCACACCATAGTGGCTTGTATTCAGAATCTGGAGATTGCGTTCGTAGAGATGCGGAAGAGGAACGCTGCAGACGTAGGAAGGAACCACGTTGAGCCGAGGAACCAGAAGCGACCATAACGACTAAGTTCGAGACCAAGCGTATGCCAAACGTTCGAAACCAAAATATCGATTGAGTGCGTTGACAAGAGCGTGTGTGGCCAGTCCAGATTTCGCCAAAGTTGACTAAATCGACGGTACCAAACGGGAAGGGTCAGAAGCGTGGGCTCAGGATACAGAAGAAAAATTAAAAAAGAAGAGTGTAGCATGCATGTAGTATGGGGATAGTTCTACACCGTATCCGTTGTTGACCGTGCGTCTAGTCACGGAAGCGTACGGGCAACCGTACTTGGCGACCAGAACGTGAGACGGTAGTCTCGTTCGTATCTTGTGAGCCTGCAATCTCATCCGAAGTCAGAGGCGGCGTGGTCTGCTGATCAGGACGTGAGACTGTGGTCTCGTCCGTAGACGGTGCAGATGATGCGTGCTGTTGACCGGGACGTGAGAATGAGGTCTCAGATGTATCTAACTCGGGATCTGAAGAAGATTTAAGGATCCCGCTAGTAGGTTTGATAGGTCTAGCATTGGATCTCAAGTTATCAAACAGGGCACTGTGATGGATGTGTGCTAGTTTGAGACGAATAATGCTGACGATCTCGATGCGGCCATGTCGATCAACCTTGATGGTCTTTTCGTGACGAGCGATCACGTGAAAAGGGCCGTCTCAAGGTTGTTGCAAATGTTTGCGTACCGAATCTACTCGTATGAAAACATGTGAACAGGTAGACAACTCTCGAGGGAGAGTGACCTGTCGATCTTGTATTCGAGTTGACACTGGAGGCAGCGTTCGCATAAATGCAGACAGTCGTTGGACGTAGTCTGATTCACCGGAATTCGGTCTGTTCCGTGGTGTGAAGAATTCCCCAGGCAGACGCAATGCCGTGCCGTATACAAGTTCAGCGGCGGAACATTGGATATCTGCCTTCAAGCTCGTTCTCATGCATAAGAGGACGAGCGGTGAGGTTTCGTACCAATTGTTGTTTCCGTGTGCTCGAAGAGCACTTTTAAGTTGGCGGTGAAACCTTTCAACTAAACCATTTGAAGCTGGGTGGTAGGCGGTAGTGCGTATGCGTTCCATACCAAGCAGCCGGGTAAGTGAGGAGAATAAGGAGTACCGAATACTTAGCACTTTTTACTCGCGTGACGATAAATTCCATGCCCTATTCGAGAAATTCCCCATACCAACTGAATCACTCGAGGAGCCTCCATCTGTGACCAATCGTGTGGTACGCCACATAGTCACCCGCAGATCGCCAGTCACGTCACGACCTGGCACCGAACAAATTAGCTTTCGCTAAACGTGGGTTTGACAATTTACTAGCTACTGGTATTATTCGTCCTTCTCACAGTCCATGGGCCTCTCCTCTTCATATGGTGCGCAAAAAGGATGGGGTTAGTTGGAGACCATGAGGCGACTACCGAGCTTTAAACGTAGTTCCGCGCTTTGATAGCTACCCCATCCCCCACATACACGACGTCACGGCATCGCTCAAGGGCACGACTATTTTTTTTAAGATCGGTTTGGTACGAACATATCATCAGACCCCAGTCGCTCTTGAAGATATCGAAAAAACTGCTGTCACGACTCCTTTTGGTTTGTTTGAGTTCCTACGTATGCCTTTTGGATTACGAAATGCTGCTCAAATTTTTCAAAGGTTTATCGATGGCATTGTACGAGACTTAGATTTTGTTCACGTCTATACTGATGACCTGCTAATCGCATCATCAAACGTAGATAACACTATCAACATCTCACTTTATAGTAGTCAACTCAGACAAGTGTGAATTGGGCAAGTCGGAAATAATGTTTCTGGGTCACATCATTAAACACAAGGGTATTTTATATTGTGAGGATAAAGTACGTTCAATAAAGGAGTACAACGTGCCATCCTCACTCAAGGAACTGAAGGCATTTCTCAGTTTGGTTAACTCCTACCGTCGTTTGATCCCACACGTGGCAGAACGGTTACGACTACTAACCGACTTCGCGGCAACCCAAGCAAGTTAGAAATGAACGATACTGCGCGTACTGCATTTACAGAGATTAAAACGGCTCTGGCGCAAGTCACACTTCTCGCTCATCCCGACCCGTCAGCCACGTTTAGTATAGCGATTGATGCATCTGATTTTGCTATAGGAGCCGTTATGCAACAGAACATCTCCGGTAGTTGGCAACCACTCTAGTTTTTCTCACGACGCCTTACTCTCACGGAGACGAGATATAGTGCTTTTGGTAGCGAACTGCTAGCAGCTTACTGCGCCATCAGACATTTTTGGCACGCACTAGAAGGAAGTCAATTTATCGTATTCACCGACCATAAGCCCTTAAGGTATGCTTTGCATACCAAGTCTGACCGCTACTCACCACGAGAGTGTAGACGTTTGGACTATATCTCCCAGTTCACGACAGACCATCGTCATATCAAAGTAGAGTTGAACTGTGTTGCCGATGCTCTGTCACGTATCCAAGTAAATGCAGTTACATTGCCGGTGCTCGTGTTCTCGTGATAAAAGTAAGTCACTACAGGTGTATGCTTTTCGTCTTTGTCAACCTGAACAGTAAGTACAGAATATGTGATAGTGGTCATCTTATGCCCTCTGACCAGATGGAAATCTTTATCTCATTCTAAGAAGCAAATGCTACAGAAACATTTTGAAAGAGGGATTAATATATAACTAGCCGGTAACACGTGCTACTTTAATTTGGAGTACTTCCATCCTAAATTAAAGCTTTCTCTACTCAGTCCCAAGACATTACGTCAAGTTGTGGAATGATAAGATGCGTTCTCAGGATTCGATTCAGACAAATTACTCTTGCCGAGATGGTCAGAAGTTTTGACTACTATTATTAATTATTAGCAACTCCACAGTACAACCAGGCACAAGATTTCTCTGTAACGTTCCAGCAACTTTACTGTCACAGAACAAACATATTAATTATATCTAAAATATAAACACAGAATACAAATTTCGCTCACGGGTTACAGCTCAGCCAACTGGTGAACGACATGAAGCGCTTAGAAGCATATTTTAAAACTATGAAGTAAATTTAAATAAATCGATTTGCCTATATCAGTTCGTTTCACGCATATTAAATATCAGAAAGTATAATCCCTGTGATCAAAACCAATACAAACATAAAAATTTCTGTAGTATGTTTTTATTTTAAAACTGGATTACTATGCATTTACCACTCGTACTTTGAAGGGCGTCGTTGTTTTAATTATTCACTTTGTTTAGTAATGAGGTCGTGGGGTCACTTGAATAGTTCCAGAGTACGAGGGCTACCAGTGTCGATGTTTTCGTTATGCGCAAAGTCCTGGCTTTCCAGTCAGATTTTCAGTTGATTTTAATCATTTTGCCAATTTCAAAGTAAAAGCGAAAATCCGTATGTCGGTGGATCCAGTTGACACCATAAACATATATCACGGGAAGCACGCAAAAAATCATGTGCTGTTACCTTACATAAGGAAAAAAACAATAGTTATTTGATAAGTTTATAGACTTTCCTCAATGTTTGGTAACCGGTCATAATGATGCGGAGTGTTGAAATGTAATATCTAAACTGTTAATCATAGTAATCACAAATGGATCATGTAGTGTGACATCGATTTATGGATAACGTCTGAGTCACGTCGAAGGGATTTAGAAAAAGCTCACATCCTCATTATAGCTCAAGAGGAATTGTAAATTAGTTTGAGAACCTAGAATTTAGTGCAATTTTAAAGTAAGGGTTTGAGATCCTGGTTAGTGTTCTTATCTCGAAATAACACAAAAAATATGCCAAAATACTCTAGGGCTATTTGAATGAACGTTGCGCCAAAACGTGAGGGTCGTTGTTGCAAACCTGATTTATTCGTTCATAAATTTTTGTGTTGCCCTAAACTGTGGCTTTTTGTCCTCAAGTACCGTCTGAGTCATTCACTGCCGCACCCACCCAAGGTTCTTGTTTTTTCTTCAGTAGCATTAATACATTTCTTCCATAGATTGAGAACCATGTTAGTCTCATCTTATTTTAAATGTATTTTCTTATAATCAGTGAGGAAGTAGCGTTAATTTAGGATGTTTTCAGTAAATGAATGATCACAGAATTTGTCTGTAATTCTGTGCGATGTACTTTAACTTTTTCCTTGGAATATTCTGCACATAAACATTACTTGAGGAAATTTGGGATAAAAAGTTTCCATTTGAAAGCACTTTGATTATTTACTGGTAATGCCACACCATCCTAAATTGTAGACTTCCCTACATTTATTACGGACTTTCTCTTTTCTCTTAATTAATTTGCACAACGTGCATCACTTATGAACCTTTGAATTAGTATGCGTTCAACTTACGTATGTTTGAATAGTCTTTGTTTTGCGTATATATCGGTAATAATTAATCTCCCTCCTTTCAAGGAATTTATTACATATTGCATACAAATGGTTTACAACTATTATAAACAAGTCTCAGACTCAAAAAGATATTGCTCACAGCCACTCTCAGTAGACCTTGGGGATAAAACACTACCATAGAAGACTTTCAGCTGGAGATTAGATCATACATATATGAGGTCCAGTAAAAGGTATCAAGGTGTTTTGTGAGTAGTGAAAGAGATGTGAAGTTGGGACTGTTAAAACTGATATAAACAAAAATTTGTAAGGGTACGTATGAAGTTAATATTTACGTTTTTGGTCCGTCAAACTCATGTTTTGATTACGTTTCATTTGGAGCTACTTCACTGCGGATTGTCTTTTTATGATTTTTCAACTACCATATTTGCTTTAATATTGTCAAATTTACGTTTGTAGCCCAAGATTTTGGCATTCAGGGCAATAGTTAAGGTCTTATTGAACTTCTAACGTTATGTAAAGATCCGCATGGTCGGAGGGTCTTACTTTGTTGGTTTTTTGATCATCTTAAATAAGATTGTTTTTAATGTCCTGCATTTTATTCGGCTCAGTTTATTTTCTAGTTTTTTTCAATTGTAAAACTGAGGGGGTTTCGTGTTGCGCTTGAACTAGGGTGTTTTTTTAGTGTGTTCAAGGTTTTATAAAGCACGTTAATATCGGTTTTGCTTTTTATTTACGGGGAATTACAAATTCTAGCATAATGGTCATGCATTATATTTTGAAATGCATGTAATACGGTTAATCCTGTGAATAATTATACTAGTTGTCCATACTAACGATCGTGTGACAAATATCCAGATTTCATTCATAAAGTCTGTCTGATCTCTTATTTTTGTGCATAGTTTTTGCGTAAGCTCACTTTATCATAGGGAGCTGTAACATACAGTTTGGATCAAAAACTGCTGATCAGAATTGAGTGATGGACATACCTAGTGTGAAGTACCCTACCTAAACAACATTCATAAAAAGGCCTAATGTTTAGTTTAGGCAATATCGTTAACAAGAGGTTATTATGTAGCTAATGACTGATCCCTAAGGTTAAGGGATAGTTTTATTCAGTACTGCAAAGTTTCCTTAGGAGTAAACACGACATTATCGTACTTGGGAAAATACATTATCCTGCTAACTGCGTATAGTTGTTTAATGTGAAAATACATCAGCCGATTTTACTTATAGCACCGTCGCCACTTTAGCCCAACATTCCTATGATTTATTTAGTTAGTATGATTTGTATAGTCTTGGCAAATTTTTTATGTCCGCATATTTAACGTCAGCTTCTAACAAGCTTGGCTTGTCAGTACCACTGCGCCGGATATAATTTTGCTAATAACCTTTATTTTGATGTTAGTGTTACCTTAATGACCACGACTAGAAAGGTATTCCGTGGTGGTTGCAACAACTAGTTTAAAAGGATAGATTCAAATGATTTTCACTTATGGCATGTTACATATGATAATGCATAGAATAACGAGGTTCTCAAGGGTTTGCAAGAAATAGAATTTCTCATATTTATGAATCGTCAGAGTTAACATTGTGAAGTAGTTCGTTGTTTCAAATTGTCATGTGTACTTTTACTTAATAGGTTTGATCAAGCAAACCTAATCTGTAACGGGGTTGGTAGTTTCGTCTCTCCAATGACTAAACTTTACACAAATGTTTCGATCATTATCCTTGAACTCCAGCTTCTCACGCCTACTCAGCTTTTAGTTGTTTTAGTGTCTGAAACTAAACTATAAATGAAGGATCATAGAGGTTTTCATCCTAAAATGTAAGATTTTCGATTAAGTTTTACCAGATGAATGCGTATGCTCATTAAGTGTCATGTTTCCCTATTCAGGGAAATATCTAGTTTCCGAATAGTGGCGCGTACGACAATGATATGGATAGTTATGCGCCTCATCAGATTTATTTGACAGGACTTGATAAAGCACTTCTGCCCTTTTTTCAAGGAAAAATTCGCCGCTCATCTCAGTCATTGATATTTCGTCACTGCTTATCTACGTTCATTTTGACTGATAATCATAAATGGACTTTGGGTTTATTCCAGAACATTCGACTAAACATGTTATCATCCTGTTGTAAACTTTAGGATTGGATTTAAATATCCTTCGTCATATCGGTGGTTATTTACCTTACTGCAGGGGTATTTTGCCAAAATCCACTTGTACAGTCATTGTTCGTTTGCTTCGTGCAACTATTTAGGCACTTAGAACAAATTTGTGGTTCCATATTATTGTAACATGTATTAACTTAGACATCAACTCGGTTTATCAATGTTCCTACAGGTGATATTACTGACAACGTTTTGGGCAGTGTAATCAGAGAAATCATGTTATTTATTTATTTTGATTACAGATCAGTCAACAATATCTTGTAATTTTATGAAGATTGCGCATAAACATGGGAGGAATATCCACCAAAATAGCGTTTGAAGTGTGTGTGGTAACAGGAGACTACAGTGGCGATGAATTAGGTCCTGGAGTTAACATGGTCATGTTTGATCACTGTGGTAATCAGTCACCGACAATTACTTTGGATAATATATTTCAAAATGATATTGACTATACACAAGCAAAATTCACCATTGATTTACAGGCCTGGAGTCGACTTAAAGTAAATCATGATTTACAGGATATTGATCACTTTTTAATGTAGGTGTTTAAACGACTACACCATATCGAATTTTGGTGTACTACTCAGTCTTATCCACCACCTGCTTGGTTTTTAGATAGAGTGATTATTAGGGATAGAAGATTTGGGATGACTGCTGAATGGAAATATTTTTTCTTTCCTGTACATCAGTGGATTAGTCAAGACCACCAATATGTTGTTCATGACTGTGAGGCCTGGATTCCTCAATTGGAACCCTTTCCAGAGTTAAGAGAAGAGGAAGTTAGTAGACGTATGCAATTTTTTACTTTATTCCAACGCTCAAAGGGTTTGCCAGTCGAAGTGAGTTGGTATATAATTTAGTCTTACCTGTTATCAATTAGTTACAAGAAATCCCACCTTCGGAGTTGTTCTCATCAGACTCTCGAGTAAGTGATAATCATGGTTATTTAAAATAAATATCTAGTGGGATATTGAGCCTTTAGTTCTGGAAGTTATTGAACGTACTGGTCTGGCTGAAGAATACACAAGTGAAGAGTCTTGGGATTCTCTCGACACATTGGGAAACTTCTATAAGAAATATAATATTACTGAACCTGTGGTGAGTAAATTTTATTTAACCAAATATTGCGTGAATTTTAAAACTTGACCAAAACATAATAGATTCATGGATTTTACACAAGAATATTGATTCAAATCTTTCGTGAATTTTCATTCAGAAATTAAAGGGTCGAATAAAAGTGAAGTTGCAAATAAGACAAAAAGTATATTTGTTTGATTTTGTAACCAATTGTAATACAAACTTTATAGAGAAGGAAAACTTGTTTCAACAGATATCATTCCATCACAATCTCTACGTGCACATAAATGATAATTTGATCAGATTAAATAGAAGCTAGGGGTCGCTAAATGAAGACATGAAACCGCTAACTGTTAGTTTAAATTATGTCGTTAAGTGCAGAGTACCTGAATGTAGGAGACCTTAGTTGATAAGAGTCTAAATCTATTGCGGTGACACAGATACATCCATTCTTTATCTTTCTTCTGAGCTTCAGTTTCATTGTTTTTCCATACGCTTCTTCACATTATTTCATTTTTTTCGAACCTTATTATCTATGCTCAGTATTTTTTTTACAATCGTTGATACTAGGATGACCTCGCTGATGTGGTGTGGTACCTGAGGTGAGGCACGTTAGTGTCAGGTGTCACGTTGTTTACGAATAAATGGCTAATTAGTGTGTGTGTTTAGCAGTGTAAAAGACGTTTTGGTTTAGGTTGTGACTATTCAACTTTGTTTAGATATAAAATCGCATACTTGTTTGTTAGATATAGTGCAGGTTAGATTATTATTCTCACCGACAATTAGTAAATTTTGTCTGTTATTCACGGAGTCGGATTTTGTAGTTTGTAAGTCGTGTAATTATTTTATCTATTTCATTAAGTACGTATATATTCAGTTTCATTTCATCGTTTTCGGATTTATAAAATTCTGATTTTTCGCAGAGTTTACAATTTTGGATGATGAATGATATTTGCTTTGGTGCACAACGTATTCGTGGATGTAATCCATTCACTATTCAAGTCTGTCGTACATTACCAAAAAGGCGAGCAAATTGTTTTCTTAACTCTTTATTACGAATCATCAGTTTACTACCATTTATTTGAGTATTAATAGTTTTGGTTAAATTCCTCAGATTAATTGTGTACAAACTAATTCTGCTAACCCGTCTATATCATACGAAGAGTTTGAGTGAAAGAACTTGTGACTGATCACTTGATTTCCAGGTTGCATTTTATGTTATGCATTGCTGAAAGACGTTACGTCCGTGTTAGCAAAACTATTGTTTCAACCTAATTTACCTCTATTGTACTCTTTCACGTTGTTGATCGGTGTGATTTATATAAAACTACTGGTATCGACTAGTAGTATGTTTGGTTAGTTTGTTTTAATAATTGTGTAGTAAAGTGGGAGCAATAAAAATAAACGTTCACAACAAATTCGAACGTTGTAAATGTTAAAATAACCGGACGAATACAGTTGCTTAGAAACAATGGATGGTAGTACTCCTAATATATTTGTGTTCATCAACAAATATTAGTGAAACACCACGTTATAATCATAAAGCTTTATTTTTGGATATAGGTTATGAGTGTTAGAGATTCATCTTCATTATTTCGATCCCTGTCAAGGGGATATATTGTTGCCCTCCTTTATTTACTAACAGCCCTTAGTTTCTGTAGATGTTTGCATTGTCGCTAGTTTTTTATTTCTTAGTACGTCTAAAAACATGAATTAGTTCGATATATTATGGAATCAAATGAAAAAAAATGGTATTCGAAAGGATTTGATTTTTGTGAGTTTGTCCTACTCCCGTTGTTGTTACTTTGCTGTGAATTTCACCTACCCACATAACCCTGAGTCCTTTAACGCAGCTATTGTGTATGCTGAAAGTTGATTACTAACCTTAAATTCATATGTTCCTAAACTACCCAACCATCTTTTATTTTTTGTATCATTCAAGCTCAGAACATTTTGTGATTATATACATGAAATACGAGTCTACAATGCGCCACAAATAATGAATCTGAATTAGTACTTTCCCATGTGATGCATGATAAAAGGTTAAGTACTAGTGTCATAGTTAATTCATCAATTTATAAACGATAAGAGATATCGCATGCTCAACGATAGCCTACCTCTTCAGGTGATGTTTAATGGTGTAGGAATAGGCTGGAAGAAAGCCAGGGGCGACCAAATCGAAATATGGCACCAGTTCGTGAAGTCATTGACACTTGAACTGAGCCATGTTAATAAGTGTAGACTACCTGGTTCGAGTCCACGTGATTATCGTAACCAGTGGTTAGAGTCTGCGAGTTACATTTCTCGAGATCGTTTTCAGTGGCCCAGGCGTATCCCTTCTTTGTCTTCCTCTAATTTTCAAGCTTTTGAATCCATAATTTTTCTTGAATCTTATCTTTTATGTCTCATCGTTTCCATCACCACTCATACTGTCACTACCTCTACTGATGTGGGATTTGTCCTTGCAATTTCATCTTGCTGTGCCAGTGGAGTACGGCAATTCAAACTGATGTGGATACGTACCAGCTTCTGTGTTGTGACTGACTGATCGCAACGGTCAATCAGTTAAATGAAATTTTACAACTAGAAGAATATGAAAATATCACAAACTAATTGTCTAAAAGGTGTTTATAAAATAACGAACTAGCTCCCAAAAAATAAGTTTCCAAAGCTTCACCTTTTTATTTCTTCTCTCAGCTCCAACAGCGATCACTAATCTAAATCTTGTTCCATGTTTTTTTCATCATAATTGTATCGACTGACATTTTCTTAAAACAACATTTTATCATGATCGAACTAATGTAATAATCAAATTGAGACAGTTCTTCGAAAACACCGTGGATCATTTCTTCTGAATTGTGACTTCCTGTACTTGTTTTAAAAAAATTAAAGCATCAATCCATAAAATGTTTTCATCATTTAAGGCTTCATTAACGACTTGTTCTAATGCGTGGAAATTAGTCCATTTTAACTTATAAAAATGATGAAAAAGTATTCATCTGAATGTATTCTATTATCCAAACAGTTGGTACTTCTGATGAGTATTTTGCAAACAATTTCGCAACCAGTTTTTTTAAAATCTTATATTCATTATTGCTTCATTGGTTTCTGCTAGTCATAAGTAGTACCATATCAAAGAAATATATTTTAGTTATAATTTAAGTATCCATCGAGTGATGATAACCTACTCAAATGTTTTAAACATGAATTTATTGTGTGAATAAATAAATGATTATGGAATAGAACGATTAAGGCAATTATCCCTTCTCTCTTCAAATTGATTAATTTATATATTTTTGTTACTTAATTTTGTGCTTAAATTAATTGTAGTTTTGAAATGGTAGCGAATTCACTGAAACCTCATTTAGAAGGTTGGACACTACGTCAAATGGTATCAGCTAATCGTTTGTACTTACTTGATTTTCATATAATGCAAGGACTTAGTTGTAAACGTGGTCGAGAATTATGTGCACCATTAGCTATCTTTTTTTATACTGAAAAGAGACAATTAAAGCCAATTGCGATTCAATTGAATCGTAATTCGAATGATGGAAGTGGGGTAAGCATTATAGTTCAAATTTATAATTCCCAATATTTTACAGGTTATTAAAATTTGAAGTTGGTATACATCTATTATTTTGAGTGATTGTCGTACAGTTACGATAGGACACTGGGCTGATAGAATGTTTATTATAAGAAATTAAAGTGTTTATATAGTACGCATACATAGACTTCGATCATCTTTTTGTATCTTGTGGTGTATTCTGCGATCCGAACTGTCTTCACATCTGGCTTTCAAGTGTTCTGTATACTCTGTGCTTTCGATGTACTGAAACTCTTCCCTCCGTCTGACGACTGATGGTCTCGATGTCACTTTTAGTTATATACTCCCTACAAGCGGTCTTTTGAGTGGGGTTCACCCCCCAAAAATACCAGTTTGGTAAAGAAGTGTATTGTTGAATAATTTATTGAACTTCCAGATCGGTTATCTCAACAACCATACCATATTTAGCAATAACGATATCTAATTTATTGATCATTCGCATAATTACAGTCACTTCATGAGGTGTACTACTGTATCACTCGGAAAAATGCTTATGATTTTCAATATGTGGTTGTGGAGACTGTTGGATCCCATTGAAATCGTGAACCGATGAATGTAAAAGCTAAGTGTTCGCGCGAGATCGAAGGTATAGGTTCAAGTCCTGTGTGCGGGATCATGAATGCTCATTGCTGAGGAGTCTCATACTAAGACAAGACGATTTTCCAGTACTCCTAGATTTTAATTGATGGTCTAACATTGATGTGGTCATGATTTCAATGAAATGTTGACGATTTCATGAAATAGTATTAAAGTATTTCTTAGACTGAAAAGATTCTTCAGAGATTAAAAGATTATCCTCTGATGATAACTAAAACAATCTTAGGTGGTTTCCGGACTTACTTGATACCAATGTTTTAAATGGCTCCCTTTGTCCAGTCGTCCAAATTTGTATAAATGTAAAAAAACCATATAGATATATGGATATTCATAATACCAGATATCTGTACCCAACCGAATAGTTAACCATTACAAAAAATCTACCCGTATTTTCAAGTACAAACTTTGTATCTATGTTATCGCTATAAAGTATAAGTCGATACTTCTGGGCGGAAGCAACCGTGTTTCAAAACCCGGAGTGTGTTTCAAAAACCCTTGGGACACACTTCCATAACACTGTTCCATAGTGTCATACTTAGCTATTATAATTCGTTTGTAACTATTGTTTGCAAATTCAAATAATATCTTTGTTCACTTGCAAATTTCATATTACTATTATGCTACTCTAGAGATCCGATATAAATTTTGACTAATATTTTTCTGTAGTGTTGCGTTTGAAATACAGTGTACTGTAGAATTAGTAAAGTAAGTTGAAAGGTGACATTCTGTAATAATTTAATCTACTGCACTGGAATAAAAAAAGATGAATGTAGTTGAATTATATGAATTCATTTATTTCATAGATTCTCTTCAACTGTTTATAACCTAAAAACAATATAATAATTATTTATAACCGATTTACATACTTCTCACCATATTAATGAAAACAAGAAAAACATTAAAAAATCACAAAAATATTCACAGGATAATTCCTGTGAAAATCCAAGGAGAAAAAATAAAAAAACACTTGGCGATGAATTCTTAGAAAATGAAAATCGATGCCAAAAGCTACGCGGTAGATAGATTTACAGAATAAAATGAATAGAACGCAAAAAGTGGATCAGTAATGAACAGAAGGAATTTACGATTGAATGGATGAAATAAAGTGTTGTGCAACTAAATATTTGAGACTGAACTCATTGGGGCAATGTGAGACTGATGATTATATCATATTTAAGTTTAACTCCAACCTTTTAATATCTATGACTTCAACAAGATATAATATGCTCGAAATTGTCCTCATATTGATAAATTTGATTGCTCTCGCATTCTTGCGATTATTAGTTAACCAAGTGAGTTCGATCACTTATCATTTCATCCACCAGAAGCCTATATCTTTGGTTAAGTAAATTTACTAGGTGTCCACAAAATCCATATTATTCGATTTCCGAAACTCACTAGGTTTTCAGGTAATGCTAAAGTGTATAAAGTGATAGGTTTATTGAGTACTATCGTAATATAATTGACGGAACTATAATAGAAGTTCATTTCAGTCTAATATAACTGGGTTAGTTTAATCCTATTATTAGGCAAAGCAAATAAAACAACCTATTCCAAAAACATTGTATTTTTTCAGTTGATGGAACCTGTAGAGCACTTGTTTGTATTTTACTACTGTTAATGTTTTATTTGAAGTATGATCAAAAAATTAGATATTAATCTTTACTTTATTTTCTCTTATATATTTACATATGCCTCAGTAATAGTAGTAACAGCTTTTTTTCAAGTTATGACTTGTACTATTAACAAAGCATAATGTTTTTATCTTAGATCATTCTTCCAACTGATCCAACTTCAATATGGTTACAAGCAAAATTATGGGTTAATCTTGCTGATGCCTGTCATCATATGATTGTTGGTCGATTGTTAACTCATTTAATATTGGAATCAATCTATGTGTCATTACGACGTAATGTATCACAATCACATCCAATATATCATTTAGTTGCACCACATTTCCGCAGTATCCTACCTGTAACAAAGTAAATTCTATTTTTATAGAGTTCATGTTGGAAGCTGGAGTACTAAGTATAATTCATTCTTGCGTACTAATATAATCTACAATAATTCTTGCAAAAACAGACCATTGTATCCAGTGTTCCTAGGTTTTCAATGTTAATCTAACTTAGATCTGTTCATGATTTCAATGAGGTTATGTTTAAATTTGAATAGCGGTTTTCTACATTTAAGCAGATTATGTTGCTCATAGAAGAATTGCAACACGTATTCTACTGTATTTCAGTTGTGATATTACTGTCATCTGTAGTAGGACACACAACAATAATTTGAAATCAGAAACAGATTGTTATTGTGGTGTATGCTATTTATGCTGACAGATATAAGTAGTATGTAGCCGTAATTGGAAGTGGAATGCCTGGCAGCAGAAGATTGAATTGAAGAGAACAGAAAGGAAATCGGAGAGCCATCTAAATAACAGTAGAATTAGAGGAATAATGGAGTAGGTAAAGACAACACAAAGAAGATATGCAAATGATGTACTTAGTGCATGATTTTCATATTTTACTTATCTCTGTGTGATTTTGCATTAAACAATAAATTGGTCCTCTCCAGCTTATTCATTACTTCGTATAATATATCGTGTAATTTCATGACGACATTGTATTTCTTCATCAGTGAAATTCAAATAGCACTCACATTTGGAATAATTAAATTGTGAATTATAAATTTCCCCGTAAGGATCTTCTCTATTTATTCAATACAATACGGTATTTTATTTAGTTTCATAATAACAATAATAACAATATTATTATTATTATTATTATTATTATTATTATTATTATTATTAACCCCATAATAACTTCCATAGTTTTGTGATTATGATCATATTGTTGACTGATTTAGCTTATACATTTCCATGATTCCATAAGTTTCTACTGATTAATTTTATAATATCCTTATTCTTTTCCGTTAACTAATATGTTGATGGCTTTCTAAGGTCTAGGTTAGATAAAAACGTCAGCTAGGTGTACGTCGTATGTTTACATATATTTTGTTGCTCATAATGAATATGTATACCATATTACTGTTTTGGTTTATTGAACTCCTTTCGTATAAATCTTAAATTATAACTCATAGTTTTTATAATAAATATTTTACTTGTTAAATTGAAGGAAATTAAAAGAGTGGACATTTGAAAATGGATGGATATCTCGTAATATTCAATTGTCACGTAAAGGAATTAAACAGTTATTAAGACGAGCTTTTAAAAAATGGCGTTTTGATGTAAATGCAAATATTTATCGTGAACTAGAGTCAAGAGGAGTAAGTCTTTCGATTTTGTTTTATTTTAAGTGAATATATAATATCAACTATCGGGACTGTAATATACTTTGTGTTAAAGTAAGCTTTTATATTTTAGTGTTTTTCAAATACTTTAATGTTTGTTAACTAATAGGTATCGTGATTGAATGATCTCTTTGTTAAAATTCCACTGATAGTATTATCTTATTCCGTATTTCAGATGCGTTAATAGTTTATTCTGATAGTCGACTTCGTCTAGCTGTGTTATTTTGAAGTAAAACTTCTAACCTGTCAGGTTTTATGTGGTATCACTGATGGATAGTTCAATACGAATCTCGTATTGTGCCTCATATGTTATTCACATTACTCAGTGTAAATATTAAACAGGGATAGCGTCATTAATTATCTGTTTTGTTTTATAAATCCAACTACTGTATCTATCATTCGCCATTTTATTTTGATATTTTCAGGTATTTGATCCAAATAGTTTAGGTAATTATCCATATCGTGAAGATGCTATACTTGTATATCATGCATTGGAACAGTTTATCTCAAGCTACGTTCGTCTATTTTACCGTAAGTATTATTTCTGTTTTTTAGTTTCAATTTCTTTTTATTCGTATTTTTGTTGTTCTTTTCTTCTATCTGCGTACTCAGAATTTCATATACGGTGGACTTTGTGACGTAAAACAACGTGTGAGAAAGGTATTGCGTTGTTATAATATCGTTCATGTCCGCATTATATAGTATGACCTATACCTAAAGTCTAGATGCTGATGATTATAAATGTCTACGTAGAATTAGGTGGACAGTTCATTACTTTATATTGTAACCGCAATATTGAAATCTGATTGTTCTGTAACAACGTATTGACTCCATTAAGAATGATGAAGGAGCGAACGATGAATGAACCATGAAGGTACGTTCTGTATTTGATTTCATATATTTTAATTGAGCTATCCCCGTTTGGGCGACGGTGGCAATAAAAATCGAAATACGAATTAAATTAGATGATTTTGTTTCGGACACTCACTCAGGCAGATTGTAAGATAACAAGTGGAGTTCGGAGTTCATCTCCGCATCTTATCTTACAATCTGCCTGAGTGAATGTCTGAAACAAAATCATCTAATTTAATTCGTATTTGGATTTTTATTGTCACCGTTGCCCAAACGGGGATAGCTCAATTAAAATATATGAAATCAAACACACAACGTATCTTCATGGTTCATCCCTTCATTATTCCCAATGGAGTCATTACGTTGCTCAGCTGATCAGCCCAAATGGGTTGGTGTCTGACCAAATCTCTACATGGATTCAGAAAGTTCGTTTGGCTTTTTCCAACTTACGTCACTTGTGGAGAAGGCGAGATATGCGTCTATCATTTAAGGGACGAGCATACTGCGCGGCAGTTCGTTCTGTTTTAATTTACGACTGAGAAACGTGGCCATTAAAGTAGAAGATACTTGTGAGTTACTAGTATTTGATCACAGTTATCTTAGAAATATTGCTCGCATCTCCTGGGATCACCGGGTATGTAATAGTGAGGTTAGACACATGGTATTACGGAATGGTGGTAAATCAGTTGATGAGGTTGTAAATTTTAATCGACTGAGATGGTTGGGCCACGTGTTACGTATGACTGAACATCGATTACCACGATGCACAATGCTGACTAGTGTTGGAGACAGTTGAAAGAACGTTAGGGGTGATATGTTATCATGTTTCCGCAGCTTTCGCAAGGCATGACAACCAGCTTTTGTCATGATTTTGGATTAAAGGGCTGGCTTGTTTTTGTACGAGTGTACTATTACTGATAATCATGAAAGAAATATATCAAATTATAAACGTTAGCACTCTATTTAGAAGTTTTAAGTCTTAGAAATTTCTGATTGCTCGATGACTTGTCTCATTCATTGAATGGAATTGAAAACATTCTGTCTGCAGCACAATAAATGAATGTTAAACTCATCAAGTTAGAGGACTGGAGTTCCGAGCGACATTATTTCTGCGACGAAGTTCTTTTACATGCTAAAGAAGCTTAGTGATGCACTGTAGCATATTGGATTCAATTGATTTCTAAAGGCAAATAACTGAAGTCCTATTAGATTGATTTGTAACTCAGAATTAGTTACAATAATTTTAGGCTCAAAATTCTATGTTTATGACGTGTTTCGAGGATCTAGTAAGTAACTTAAATTCAGTTCTTGAAGTCACTAACTTCTAGTCTGAATTATGTCGGTAGATGCAGACTACTTGGTTAGGGTCCGTGCGACTTGTTTCATTTTACTTATTCTTTTTAATCAATATACTCATTACGGACAACTGATGTGGCTTTAGTTATATTATGAATATTCTACATAAACTCTTTGAGTGTAGGGAGACTTATCTACTGGTTATCTAAAGAAGAACAATTCCTTGTTCTTCCTAAACGTAAATAAATCGTGTAGCAATAAGTTATTCGTGCTAGTGAATTACTGTCACTTTGGTACAATTAGTTTATAATGTTATTATGGTACAAGGAACAAACTAACTCCAGTATATCTTGAATAACTTCCTAGAAAAATTTGTATGCCTGTACAATTACAGTGTGGTGCTTATTTTTTATAACTAACACATTGATACTCTACCTGACATGATTTCAGGTCTCATTTTTTGATGAATTGTATAATATTTATGAAAAATGATTAATACTGAAGTGTTTATAGTAAAGGATCGTGGCTAAACGAAACATCTTTGTCGAGAACTGACCACTCGTCTTAAATATATCAGTTTGTGTTGTGAAGCGGATAGTACATTCTTTTTAATATGCTAACTTAGAATTTATTCTGAGGTTGTTGTTTAGTCTGAAAAAAGAAATCAATTTCTTAGTGCGCTTACTAATATATTTGTTTATTTATATTACTTACTTACTTACGCCTGTCACTCCCATTGGCCGCTGACCAGCATTCTCCAACCCACTCTGTCCTCCGCCTTCCTTTCCAGTTCTATTCACTTTTTGTTCATTTTTCTTATGTTTGTCTCCATTTCTCGGCGTAATTTGTCCTTTGGCCTTGATTCCATGTGAGGGCTTACTTTGTGACGCAGTTGGGTGCTTTCCTCAATGTGTGTCCTATCCTTGTTTATTTACATATCTTTTGAAAATGCTTCATTTTTAAGGTATTTTCTTTTATTGACTTAATTATTGAGTCTAACAAATCTGTTGGGATCGTCTAATTTTAATTTATAAGATCAATCCTTCGGAGTGAATTTACTACGAACAATGTTGTTTATTGAAAACGTTGATGTTAAATGGAATGAAATTGAATTGGTTGTTAGCAGCATTTCCCAATTTATATGTGCATTAAGTTGTCAGGTGTGACTATAGTTTCTAGGGTAAAGTTGTCGGTGGATTGTTAAGGACTAATCGAATCGTTCGGTTTTGTCTGAATGATTTACATCAGTCAGAGAAGCCAACATAAATTGGTTGAAACCAGTAGAGGTAGTAGTAGTTGTAGTCAATTGTTTATTTCACTAATAGACTTGACGAAAGTTACAGTTGATCTCTCGGGAAAATCTGGTCGTAGGATTACCAATGTGTTAATGTAACATATTCAACGGGGAATGTGCCATCTTTTCTCGTAGCATAAGCAATCAATAGTGTAAATTGACAATAAACCAAAAAAGTTGTTTATCCTAGCCTGATCTAGTTATTCTTTAGCGAAAATTATACTATCATTAGGTTATCGATATATTGAGTAAAAACTTCGGTTAATTATTTTGGGTAGTGAAATAAATTTAAATTTTCCCTTAATCCGCACAGCTGGTGGGACTGAACAAATCATACATGATAATGAACTACAGTCTTGGAGACATGAAATTGCTAGTCCAATGGAAGAAGGTGGTTTAGGCTTAGTCGGTGTCCCTGGTAGTACGATAAAAGTGAGTGACTTATTGGCCTAATGTTTTATTTTCTTTCCTTTTTTGTATATTAAATTTTAATGACTAATAAGAATAAACATTATTCGGAGTAATTTTTATTTATTGATTTAAACAAATAGGTCATTGGATTTATGTGTGGGCTGTGATATGGTTCGGATGTCCAGACCAAAGTAGTTAGTTTTATTAGGGAATCACTCCCCGAGTCTTTAACCTGAATGTCCAATCCACAACGCGGTTGACCAACGTCCCATGTTAACCGGTGACCTACATGAGGTTCATACGCCATCTATCTCCTCAGGATTGTGGAACCCATGTACACTACTGGTGTTTGATCAGGGTTTTCCAACTCCATTAGGTGGATTCTTCTTACCGACCAGTCTGTTTCAAGAGCCAGACATTTGCTTTTCGTCCTCTCAACTTTGTGAACAACCCCTCATCCACGAGAAACTAGAGAGTAGGACTTCACTGGCAGTGGTTATATACGCGTGGTCATATAAGAGCATTCGTGGGAAGAGAGTAGACTCCCCACCCTAGACCATTCCTGGACATTTGAAAGCCTCGAAGTAAAGTACCTACGGTAATATAAAATGTTCATATACACATATACAGTTGTAAAAGTTTTAATCCATCTGCGTAGTGTACGTTTAATAAGACCAGCGTTTTTTCGTATTTCCAGTAAACTATTGATTAACCTTGATTCCCGTCTGTTGTGTAGCTTGTTTTCATTTGTTTATGCTTTATATTTCCTAATGAGTGTTCGTACTTATTTATAGTCTGGCTAACTTCATACTCTTTGGCGGTTCATAAAACATATAAATGTTTTTATTTATAATAGCCAATCAACATAAACCACTATAAATCACTATATGAGTTCTGATTCATGGTTATTATTCGGTCTGTTTTTCGAATAACGCTTCTCATTACACCTTTTACCACTCGTGTGGCATAGATCGCTGACTGGGAACCTTTAACATACTCTGTCATAAGCTCTCCTTTCCAGTTGTTGCTAAGCAATAACACTGTTGTGTATGCTACTTATGCTGACAGATAAAAGCAGTACGTAGCCGTAATCGGAAGTGGAATACCTGGCAGCAGAAGATTGAATTGGAGCTGCTACCTTGACGTGATGGTCGGGCTTGCCTATCGTGATAAAGCAACCGAGCTATACTGACTGAAACAACCGTTCCTCAATGTACTACCATGTCAGACAGGTAAGTTGAAGAGCGGTAAGACCATAAGCAACAAACCCAAGGTCCGAAGGCGAAGTCGTACTGCTGACTGTACAGAAGTGTGACAGCAGTAAGGTGTTTCCTTCAGACAACCAGCATCGCAGCGATGCTGCCTTCCCACAAGGAGGGGTGCGGTTAAAAAAGGTCGACCCTAAAAATGTCACACCTCACCTTACCTCACGGATTTCCGTCTCTGGCGGTAAGGCCCTTTAAAGAACGAAGCTAACACATTAAAAACCTTCCACAAAAAGGCCATGCGCGATCGACCTCAAGCAGTTGTCCCTTGGGCTCTGCGGTCACGCTCCCAGGTCGTCAAGACCAACACTAGTCCAATTTCCTTTACAGGTTCCTCAAGAAATACCCTTCTACGGTGTGGGCAGCCGGGAAGTGACATCAGCCCTCATACCCGTAACAGCACACGAGACCAAGTTGGTCACATTCAAATCCTTCCTACACCTCCTAATACCTCTCTTATCTCCATGACTAACCCTTATCACGTCCCTTTACCACCTCGCACCGCTAGGGCAAACGATTCGGGTACGCGGAAGGTTATTCCTGGTCTCCTGAAACCACGCTCTAAACTACACATAGGAGCTTTTAACGTCCGAACACTGTGCCAAATAGGACAGCAGGCTTCCTTATCTAAGGCTTTAGAATCCCGCGCCATCGATGTGTGCTGCGTCTCCGAAACGCGCATACAGGATCCGAGTAGCGTCATTCATTTGACCTCACCATGCCAAAATAAAGAACCGACTCGATTCACACTTCGTGTATCTGGAAGCCCTGATTCTGCTTCTCGTGGCCTCGCCGGCGTAGGTATATCATTAAGTCCTATGGCAGAACTAGCTCTCTTAAACTGGATCCCAGTAGACAGCCGTTTGTGCGCTGTCCGACTAAACGGAACAGTAAGGATCCGAAAAGATAGGGACACTCGTCGTTGCCTCTTTGTCGTCTCTGCCTATTCTCTCACTGACTGCAGCTCGGATGATGTAAAAGATGAGTTTTACAGAAAGCTCTCCGACCTTCTCTGAAAAGCTAGGCGCTCGGATGTAGTAATGGTGGCCGGTGACTTTAATGCTCAAGTAGGTAAACTAAGCGATAGGGAAAGACACCTAGGTGGATCTTATAGCATCGTGGCTCAGAAAACAGGTAATGGTGACCGTATGCTGCAGCTATGCTCAGATAACCGCCTGTTCCTTTGCAAATACTAACTTTAAGCATAAGGAAAAACATATTTGAACATGGCGACCACCTAATTCGTCCCAACGTTGGACCCAAATAGATCACATCGCTATCAGCCACCGGTGGAGGGGCTCGATAGAAGACTGTCGTTCATTCTGGAGCACATGCCTAGATTCAGATCATGCTCTAGTGCGAGCGCGTATTTGCTTGCGTCTTACTGGACGTAGGAAAGACGCTGCAAGTAAACCTACTTAAGCCTACTTAATGATAGTCAAGCTAAGAGAATATTTCAGGAACAACGAGGAAAACAGTTAGGTAGCCATGTATGTGATGCTCACCCCGATGCAGCATGGAATGATATCCGAAAAGCTGTGGAAACAGCAGTGATATCTGCTAGTAAGGTAAACCAGAAGGTTAGGGAGCAACACTGGATCTCAGCAGCATCTATCGCACTGATAGATGTTCGGAAGCTCATTCCACCTAGCTCTGAACATAATGAAGGGCGGAGCCAGCTTAAGCACAAGCTGAAAAGAAGCCTACGCAATGATCGCGAACAGTGGTGGGTAGCGAAAGCAAGAGAGATGGAGAAGGCAGTGGCAATAGGTAATATCAGACAATTGTTCAGACTCGTTAAGGAAACCGGAATTAGGAACCCGACCGTTAGCGAAACAATCTCAGAGAAAGATGGACATTCATTCTCAATCCAGGAGATTGGATCGATGGGCAGAGCACTTTAGGGATCAGTTCAACTGGCCTTCAGCCACACTTCGGTTTCCCACGATCCCTAGTCAACCTGAATGGCAAGTTAATGTAAGTCCTCAGTCCATTTACGAAGTTGAAAAAGCCATAGGAAATGTGAAGCGAGGGAGAGCAGCAGGTCTTGCGCCTGAGATTTTTAAGGATGGTGGTCCAGTATTAGCAATGAGATTAACTGAGGTCTTAGGTAGAATCTGGGAACTGGACGTAATCCCATCTGACTGGTCTCAATCACTGATTGTGCCAGTCTATAAGAAAGGACAAAAGTCCTCTTGTGACAATCACAGAGGAATCAGTTTGACTAATATAGCGTCTAAAATATTAGCTTTAATAATACTTCGACGCCTAACTAAAGCTCATGAAGAACAGACTGGAGAAAATCAGGCTGATTTTCGACCTGGACGTGGTTGTATAGACCGTATATTCACACTACGTCAGGTTCTAGAATACAGACACACGTTCAGACGCCCCACAATCTTAGTATTTTTCGACCTTAAGGCGGCATTCGACTCTGTTGATCGTGAGGTTCTATGGCAGTGTTTATCACTGAAAGGAATACCAAAGAAGTACATTAACCTTGTAAAGGCTTTCTACTCGAACTCAACTGGTCGAGCAAGAGCTTATGGTGAACTGTCATCAGAATTGATTACCTCAAGTGGTGTTCGTCAGGGCTGTCCACTTTCTCCATTCTTGTTCAACTTTGTGGTCGACGTACTTTTAGAGATAACACTCTCCTCATCTAAATTTCCAGGGGTTGAACTTCTACCGGGAGGTTCACTTGTTGACTTAGAATATGCTGATGACATAGTTTTATTTGGTGAAGACGCTGACAAAACGCAGTCTCTTGACCACTCTAAGCAACAATGCAAGCATGTTCGGGATGCGATTCTCCCCCCTCGAAATGAAAAATGTTGCTTCTGAATTGGGTTGTATTGACACCCGACCTAATGATAGGGAGTGAAGTAATTGAGCGTGTCGATCGCTTCACTTATCTTGGAAGTTTCATCAGCCCTTGTGGTCTGGTGTGTGACGAAATCTCAGCACGGATACAGAAGGCTCGACTAGCTTTTGTCAACTTGCGTCATTTATGGCGTAGGCGAGATATCCGTCTATCAACCAAAGGACGTGTTTACTGCGCAGCAGTTCGTTCCGTCCTACTTTATGGCAATGAAATATGGCCGGTAAGAGTAGAGGATATTCGTAGGTTACTAGTATTTGATCATAGGTGTCTTCGAAACATTGCTCGTATATCCTGGGACCACCAAGTAAGTAACGCAGTTGTTAGGAAACGGGTACTAGGTAAGGATGGCAAATCAATTGATGAAGTAGTGAAACTTCATCAGTTGAGATGGCTGGGACACGAGTTACGTATGCCCACCGACTGCCTCGACGTGCGATGTTCAGTGGTATAGGAGTAGGTTGGAAGAAAGATGGGGGCGGCCAGACCAAAACATGGCACAAGTCCATGAAGTCACTGACAAGTGGACTGAGTCATGTTGGTAGGTGTAGACTACCTGGTTGGGGACCACGAGATGATAGCAACCGATGGTTAGAGACCTTGAATGACATGGCTGAAAATCGTCTGCGATGGCGCAGGTGCATACACTCTTTGTGTTCTCCCAAATTTTGATCTCCTCATTCCTCCTTGTCTCTTTTTCTTTCTCTTCCCAAATTTATTTCACTGTATTATACTCTTTGAATAACATCTCCAAACACTAATTTTCCCGATTACTGCTTATACTCTTACTCTTACCTCTACCACTGTGGGATTTGAATCGACCACTGCATCTCTGTGCTAATGTGGTGTGGCAACTCGAACTGATGTACGTACGTACGAAGTTCTACGTTGTTACTGACTGGCTGAATTGAAGAGAGCAGAAAGGAAATCGGAGAACCATCAAAGCAACAACAGAATTAGAGGAATAGTGGAGTAGATAAAGATAACACAAAAAAGATATGCAAATGATGTACTTAGTGCATGATTTTCATATTTTACTTATCTCTGTGTGATTTTGCATTAAACAATAAATTGGTTTTTATCTAACTGAGTTCTCACTTCAACATTAGTCCGTTTAAGTTTTAATTGCTGATAAAACTTTTTATTTTAAGTAATAAATAGTTATGTAGCTGACTGACATCTGTAGCTGATATGTATCAACAATCAGAAAATCTTAATGCAGAGGGCCATTTCAATTTCTCCCAATAAAGTATTACTTCAATGAATTTGTATCTGATATAGGATGTGAAATATAATCTCTTATATATACATTCAGATATAAATCACTGAACACAAATAATGAATAATAGCTATTATTTTATTTCCTATCTCCATTAAATTAATTGGTAAATTCAATTTCATATTCATTTCCATCCTATGTAGCTTCGTACGAATTCTGGACCAGAAGATTATCTACAAGATAATGTTACAGAAGAAATATTTGGTTTAAATACGGTTGAAGAAGTGGCCAAATTTCTAATGGGAATTCTTTATCTTGGTATTATTGTTACTGGTTCAGCGCTTCGATTGCCAATGTTTGATGAGTATGGCTTTCCAGCACAATATCCGTTAAGTCTATTTGGTTCTCCTCCTTTAGATAGAACTACATTTTGTAAGTTGATCTGTACAAATTGTTTATCCGAAGAAAATGAGGATAATTGTCGAGATTTTTTAGTTGAATGTAGTCGATGATTAAAGTTGCTTTCAGATTAAACAAAACACTCAATCAAATAAATTGTAGTTTTATCAATTAGATTATTTCTTCGTAGTCATAAGTCAAGTACACTCTTCTGATATTTCTACGTTTCCTTAAAATGTAAGGTACTGGGAAAAGGATAATTCTCTCCATAATCAGTAGTATTCGTTGTAATTGTATCAATTTACTTGGCGATTTAAAAAAATGCAAATTTAACCGTAAGACAAATTATTGTCTACAAAGTTTTATGTGTGAGGTACTGAAAAACTCTGCATATAGTGTACCAATATTTTTTGGAATTAATCAAATAACTGATATCATTATTTATAGTTCGAAGATTATTTTGTAGAGGAGTCCAGATTCCCCTAACTAAAGTTTTACTACTGTTTATGATGACAATCATTGGCCATCTGTATCAACACCCTCGTAAATTAAAAGTGTTTCTGAAACTTATTTATGTAGTCGTTCATAAGTCAACAAATTGGTTCTCACTACTATTGTATCGGGTAAACCCTCAACCTCTGAAGAGCTCTTGTTTTTTAAAAGGCTTTAATTTCATCTATTTATTATTAAAATCATATAGATCGGTCACAATGCTAATTCTGTAATTAGTTCTACTTCAAATATATTAAATCGGTCATCTGAATATATAAGATGTTTATGAATTTTACAGTTGGTTTCACTTGCTTTGCGCTTACTTATTTTCCTTGAAATTTTTCTCATGTAGCCGATGGTACTTTGAATGGTGCACATGGCAGTGTGTTTAGCTTTTCAAATGTACAAGGTCTTGATCGTGTATTGGCTTCACTGCCCAATCGTCAAATGACAGTAGAAACTGTTCTCTACACTAGATTGGCTAGTCGAGTTCAACAATCTGTTTTAGGTCAATTTGAATCGGATTTCATATTTAAAAAGAAAGCAGTTGTTCTGTTAGATCAGTAAGTTGTGTCATATGATACAAAATCCATCATTTTAGTTAGATGCTTGTGATAGATTCGATTTCACTCATAGTTATTGAGTCCGTTTCTTTTTTTCTAAATAAATTCATTAATATAACTACATAATTGATACGGTTAAAAAGTTTGCAGATCTTTTAATGCTTACTTATTGACTGGAAATTATCGAACAACTAAGTACTATAATTAAACATTTTTGTATAGTCTCGAAATCATAATTTTGTGAGTTTATCGAACACTTCGCGTAAAAGTTGAGAACTTCAGTTAATAATTTGTTATGATTGCCTCTAGCTCTTGTCCACATCGAAAATAGCGTCTGATGATTACATATCACTTCTTGTCATCATTTTAAGGTGCTGTTATGCTTTTTTGTTGGAAACTGTTGTTATTCTCTCTTATTACAACCCAGCTATTCCTTTTGCTTAGTATTCTCGGACACCGATTCACTCGACAAGTCCCCAAATCAGAACACGGTTGAACAGGTTAGATGGAAGTAAGAAGCGCAATAGGAAAAACGTTAGTAGATTTATAGTTTTTACATGAGAAGATTCTAGAGTGTCCTGCAAGTATCTACTAGCGCTAATCGGATAAGAAGTAGCCAATCAGCGTGTACCAACGCAGTCGTTCATTGATCATGCTTTAATCCAATCGATGTCCCGCTAGCAGAAACATTTGCGAAACTTAATTAATAAACCCAGTAAACTGTTGTAAGTTCATCCTATCGGGATAATTATTTCTAATTACAAAAATTCTGCAACAGTTAAAAACATCGTTCAAACAAAAGGTAAACCATTTCTTTAGGGATAAAACTTGACGTAGCTTATTTCGCTGTACTAGTAAGTAATTCACAGTTTCAAAATCTGCTCACTATAATAAAGTTGTTTGATAATTGATTAGTATAGTTGTCTATGCTAATCAACATGTATACCATTTGTATGTATTTTACACTACATACAATTGAGATTCTTGCTGTACTCTTACCAATAGACTATATTGTAAGGGACCTACATGCATATGCATTAACATAGAGAAAATTGTCCCGACACAACCTATAGTTCTGGACTCAATTTCTCTAGCACTCTTCTACACCTCTTACTAAAATTATTCAGTCAAAGAATGTTTTGTTTTAGCTTAAGCGTTGATAATCTTCTTTTTCGTTTTTGTCTATCTGAGTAAGGTCACTAAGTGAGTAGGAAAGAGTAGTGTTCATATGCCTCCATGCATTTCTGTTTAATTTTTTTGTCTGTATGTGCCAAACGATGTATTCACCTATTTTTGGTATATTTGACATAGGTTTTCCATAATCACAAGAAGCTGGCATTTATAATATATTTTGTAAACGCTAATTTCTTTAGTTTGTAAACCTTAACATCCACGCGATCATTTATCTATATAAATTAAAATTTATGGTGGCTCTTTTGTATATTTATTACTATACAGACGTATCCTTGAAAAATCAAGTGAAATTTATGACCTCAAAAATTGCTCATCATTTTAACTTGTATTAGGCACAAGAAATCTGTGTAAATAATTCAACTACTTGTGTTAACTTGGTTTCAAGTAACCAATTAGAATTCAAAGTAGTTTTTGCACAGGAAATATTAACTATCTAGTACTGTTTAGTTGCTAACTTAGTAATTGCTAGTCATTAAAGTTCACCATTAGTCCTATCGTATAGTGATAGTAGTGCAACGATGACGGTGTTCCAATTCAAAGATTAATCTGCTGAGGTACTTGAACCTCTCTTCTTTACACCGACTGATTGTTGTTATGTTTAGATTGCCGTAGTATCTCATTACTTGTTTACTTTTGTCTTCAATTAAGTGTTGGGTTCCGAATGTTGTCACAGGGATTTCTCTTGTCGGTGGTTGTTCCACTCGAGTTGTTCAGTTATTCATTATTTCTACTTTAATTGGTTTGACAAGAAAAATAAATTTCATCATCAGTGGAATATTTCATGCTATACAAATTTTTACTTTTGCCACACATTTGTGAAATTACTCACTTTGAAACCACATTCTTGTCAATTTGTGTGTAATTTCAGCGTCAACGAGAGTTGCGCTCATTATCCATCGTTTTATTTCTACTTTTATAGATTTCGTCATGACTTGGAAGATGTGGCTAGACAGATCGATATAAATAACAGTGCTCGTGATATGCATCATCAGTATCGAGCTTTAGATCCTTCACTAATGCCTAATTATCCAGGAATTTGATTGATGATCAACGATACATATATAGTTTTTTTTAAAATATGTGTACAAAATAATTGAAACATTTTTGTCGAATGTTAAACAAATCAGTGCAAATGAAATACATATCCTTGATCCCCTCTATTGTTGTGCATTCTTTATCATGATTCATACTAAATTCTTATTTATAATCACTTACTGTATTCATAATCTGTGGTCACTTCACTATGATTTACTCTTAAAATTGTCTTCCAATAATTTTTCTGTTTACTTTATCTAATAATATTATTTCTTTTGACGATCTCTTTTATTTTATTTCATTTGTATCTATTTATTACTTTATCAATAAATACCTAGTCGAGTTTTATTCATCATTAAAACTATCCTTTATTATGATGTAGCGTAGAATGTCTGTGATTAATATTGAAAAGTATTTCTAGTGTGTATAATCAAAACTAGTTCATATAAAATTCATATCAGTCAATTACTTAATATTCTTTTACAAAGAAAAGCATTATTTTGTATCATTTACACTTTTATGTTTAATGGTGTTTATACATAAGTCTAATGTAGACTATATTGTACCTCCTTTGTCTTATTCAATTACATAACATATCAATATTATTTTATTCTATTATTCATTATTATCAAACACATTGTTGTTATTTTTAAATGAATCGTTTTCTCACACTTTTCTCTCCATTTTCAATTTCGTGGGGTTCTTTTATTTATTACAACGATTAGTTTATTGGTAATATCCGATATCAGTAGTTTTGACAGTTTTAGTTTTGTTGACATTACCAAAAAAGAGAATAATAATGTCAGATTGTTTTTTTTAAAAAAGGTGATTTTATAAACGCACTTTAGTAATTTTTTATAAATAATTATAATATAGAAATTATTTGCACTCAATCCTTCACCTTCTTATTGTTGCTTATTGAATGTTTGTTACTTTTTATCGGCTGAGTGTATATAACAAATAAATGATTTAAAAGAAAGTTGATTGGTTACAGACAATGCAGTTGTGTTTTGTCTATTGTTTATCATGTTTAATGATGATTAGATTTTAAACTTCATATGTGTTTCAGTTTATTTCACATTTTCCTAGACATTGATAATCGTCTAATTAACTAGTTTATAGAATCTTTATATTCCTCCTGTGGTGTAGATCTGTCGACATAAGTAGTATGTGGTACCAATCGGAAGTAGAAAACCGGGAAGCAGAAGACTATGAAGATCGACTTGAAGAAAAAAGAAACGGAAATAATTGTGACTTGGAAGAATCATACAGAATTTGAATGATAAATGATGAATTTAAATACATTGGTTGTCCCCATCTGCAGTCTCGTTCAGTACACTCCTTCTTTGGACTGCATAGATTATCAAGAGTATTTATTGTTTTCAATTCATGAAAATGTTTGAATTACATACTACTATTTGATATCTAAAGCATGTTTGGAACAATTTTGTAGTGAGATAGGTTTTAGGGATTCTTAAACTCTGTCTCAGTACTATGAACTTTAATATTTATCAGATTTGAATCCAAATCAGTTTGTCTTTCAGTTTCTATGTTAAGTTTTTTTTTCTTTTTTTAATACTTTTCTCGAATTTATTGACGTTTTATTTTCTTCGTTAGACTACCTTTTATACGTTCGTTAGTTCTTTTACTAATAATAAACATCAATAATCATCCATTATAATTCAATTGAATAATATTTACATTCTTTCTTGATGGAAATTCGCTAATTTTTAACGATTTTTTTTCATGTTAAAATGTATAAACATCTAGATATGGTGATTCAGTCAAATTCAACATTATGTTTAAAAAACTTCTACGGAGTATTTAATTCTTTATTACGACATGTTTCTACAACAGGATCTGTTAGTAACGTCAACAATCTTTTCAATTTCAAGTTAGTTTATTGATGTTCTATTATTACCCTTCTATGAGTATGGTTGTTTCTTCTTGAATATTAGTCAATTTTTATATAATTTTTGTGCTATAAAATTATCATTCGGATAACGAAAAATCAATGATGATAAATAAAAGTAACTTAATTGACAGAATGCAAGCGTTAAAATATGTAATGTATACTTCATTTAATTGCGTCTATGTTATTATCAATACCTGTGTGTTATAACGTGTATTTGTTTATCAAATAAGAAAAAATTAATAGATGTTGTGCGAACATTTCATCCTAATGTGAGGTCCTTCGAGGACGATTCGCGATTTCGTCGCTAAAAATTGAACTTGGGACTTTAAGATCCTTCAGCCTGGGTGTTACTTGTAGGCAATCTGTACAGGAAGCCAAAAATGTGCTGGTTTTTCTACCCCGTTTGTAATAGTTATCATTTCATAATATAAATTAACTTCACAGACCTAATCCTGGAAATAAACATGTTTTCAGCTAGTTGTTGGATTTGTTTTTTCTCGTTTTTAGTTTGACTGAAAGTATTTTTACACACCACTTTGATATAGATTCAAATGTAAATATTTTGCTCTCGTTGTCAAAAGTGTTGTTTAATTAACTTTACTACTAGTAGTAGTAAATTGTGAAAATCGAAATTTATTTCCATAAAAATCAGAATCCACCCTATGATCTGTAATATTCTGCTTCAAAATTCCTAACAACCAGTAGTTTTCTTCATTATCTGACTTTTCGTATGTTTATTCTCTTCACTAAATAAAATGTACTTCTCATTCATCGTTTTTTCAAAATTATTAACAGAAATCTCGTTTATAAGATAATAGTTATTGATCTGTTGTCCTGTGAGCAATACATGAATATGGGAAGGATAATAAAAAGGACACGCGTACGAATGACTTAATACTATGTATAGTTACCTAAGTAAATCAGATTATTTTTATTGATAATCTTGGAATGTTCACCAAATAAATATGCTACACTGGTTTAGGTTTGATATTTCTGTTTCTACACTACTATAATATTCAATATATCCAGGTGTTTCTACATATTGTATTCTTGTTCATATGACAGATAAAATTTTACCGTCGAATAAATGTGAATACTTTATAGCGTTGTGCAAAATATCAATTTAAGCTCATTTTTTCAAGGGATTGTAATGGTAGTGAATGTTAGGCTGTGACTATTCGTCAAATATATTACAGTGATAAATATCATGTTAAATGCACTAAGGTGGATTATTTCCATTTCCATCGGGATATTCTGGTTAGAAACCTCTCTCGTAAAACGTAGACGTTTTCATTTATTTTTTTGTAGTAACTGTCAGTAAGTGATGTGTAAATAAATGTCTAGTTTGGTTTAACTGTATTTTGCCCGTGGAACTAATAATACCATTAACAATATGATAATTCGCAAACAACTTTATATATAATCGATCACCAACAATACCTTTTTCATATTTGTATATGGTTGCTCATAGTTAATTTATAGTTAAAAATATATACTTGTAGATGAGTCATTGTTCATTTGTGAATAATTAAGGTTCTCTTGATGAATTTGTCTTGTGTATACTGCTTATGTGATATTATTTCATTATTTCCACTAGTCATTGGATTAGTACTATCTCTCATGTAAATGCCAAAATTGTAAATAAAATACTTTTACATTTCAACAGTCAGTGGCGTATTTTGCAGATACCATCTCGAAATCGCAGAAGTGAAGAGGTGAAGAAATTTTATTCAGAAACCGGTGACTATAACCCTCCAAATCAAGATGCTATTGATAGATTTAAACGTCTTCGTTGGGGTGCATATATTCATGCACGAGCTGGTCGAGCTAAACATTTATATAGGTAATATATATATATATATATATATATATATATATATATATATATATATATATATATATATATATATATATATATATATATACTTCTTTTATTATACATTATTTCATTTTGAAAAATATTCACAAAATTAATGTCATTGAATAATTTTGTTATAACGAATGGATATTAGTATTGTATAGGTATTTAATCGAATTTTCTCCAACTTTGTGATATGTAGCCGAGTAATGAATAGTTATTCAAAGCAAAATAGACTAATTTGTACTTATCAAATCAAGTTTATTGAAAGTTTTATACTAGGTGATAGTTTGTGCGAATTTGTAGGGTTAGGGCTGATAGTTACCATTTTCTCGCACCAAGTATCTAAAGTTTTATATTCGTAGATATTGTTTCCAAGTGATTACGTTTAGCTAAATAAAACCTTAACTTGAAGATTTAGTGATTATTTTTTAAAATGAAAATCTGTGTAGTTTTGTGATGTAAACCAATGATTGTGGTAAACTGCAAGATGAACGAAAATAATTATTTTTCAACAATGTATGTGTGCAGTTTTATTTGCATGAATTGTACTGAAGTTTGATCTGCGTTCGTGTCTTGCGGTGAACACATTACCTTGAAACTACACTTCGGAAATTAGATACTTAACACTTTGTTTGTGCTCTTTATTTTCCAGTGGTTCTTGTAACAAAGTTTGTGTACATATGAGTTACATGTGATTGTCGACTATTCTTTGCTTTTTTTACCGGTTTTACAATTTCAACAAACTTCAGTTTTTATTTATTTTTCCTTTTACATTGTTACACAGACGAGGTGAATCTGAATTAGATCGACGTTCCGAGCACATTTTGACCAATCGTGCAACAACGTTTTTAATAAATAATTTGCTAAATAGACAATGGCGAACACCAAAATATTATCCAAATGATATTTATGAACCATATCATCAAAGAACCGGGGTCCCTTGGGATTATAGATTACGGAAACCCAAATTCTTCCCTTGAATGTTATAATGCTATTTAGTTAAGTTTACACATAAACTCTTTTTAATGATAATACCTTTTATAATTGATCACATTCGGGCTACAGGTAACGATAAACATTTAAATCTGTCTTCTTATACTCTTTCTCCATGGCTTTAAGGAAGAATAAATTGAGAAAAGTGGACAAGATACCAGGTGAAATGCAGCGAATAGTGCTTTTGGCATTTTTGTGGTTGTTACAGTTATTTAGTGACCTTTTGATTTAAGGCCAACACGAACAGCTATTATTACTCCATGTTAAGTGATGATATGTCATTAATGTGATAATGAGAATATGATAATAATTATAATCCCAGTCGAACAATCCGTCAAATAGATCAGTGAGCAGAGTTGACACAGGAACAAAGTATTGATAAGATAATACGATTTGAGCATGTCCATTTCGCTTCTGTACTGACTTCGCTGAATGCGTCGGGTTAGAGATTGAGTCGCTTGAGTTGCTCTTCGATTAAGTCAAGCACTTGGTTCATTTATCGGATGTGTAGAGTTCGAAATCTTCATCATCTACGAAGTCTTGGAGGTTGCGTTAGGTTCGTAGTAAGGCTCAGTACTTTAATGTGGCCAATTAAGTCGGGCGATGAAGTTATCGACGGGCTAACCACTTTAGTGACCCTGTATCTGACTCTGATTAAATCTTTTCTGATTGTGATCGAAATATACATCCCGGCTACCTCCGTATATAATCATCGACATAAATCGTGTTGGCGAATGACGGAATTAAAGTCAAATACGAGAATGAAGCTTGAGTGTGCATATTTCATACAATCGGCGATCTGAACAGACAACCAGAGAGGGGAAGCAAAACTAAACGATACGCATTGAAGAAGGCGAGTGAGCCGATTCCATTTGATAACGCGTGACTCAATATTTATATTCAGACAAAAATAAGTTAGACATGTAATGAATAGAGCAAGCAATTAACACACATTCGACCACATAAAAACAGTCTGAGTTAATCAGCTAATAGTTGACAAGGTCGTAATATGGCTTGAGAAGAATAAATAAATTGGTCTTTCCAGAAGCCAGAAAAACCTATGTGGGCTTGACGTAGGGCCGGTCACTACAAGTTTTCCAACAAATAGCCTTAATTAGGTTATTTATTATCTATGGAAAATGATGCATATTTTATGCATTTCAGTAATTTTTTAAAAGTATGTTACTATAACAGATTCGAAAAATTTTTATAGACTTTCTTTG